TGTATGTATGTATGTATGTATGTACATATTGTAGATAAACACCCAACAATTACTTTTTTAAGAAAATCCATCCAGACACCGACCTTCTTGCGGAGGTGACAGTAAACCACAAACAGTCTTTAAGCGACTTTTATTTTGAAGAGTTGTTTCCGCCGGCGGAAGTGGGCGGGTTCGTGTCCAAAAAGCTAAAACTTTCATTTAGTTGTGAAACTTCTGAGAGAAAAATGGCAACATTTTTCGGAGAAGTGTTGTCGGTGTATTCTCGAGCTGTGGAGGAAGACGAAGAGGATCTGGAGGAAAATGAGGAAGATGAGCAAATCCGCAGAGAACTGGAGGAAAAGAGGTAAAATGCGGTTAGCATAGCATGCATGCTAAAGCGCGACGGAAACAGAAACTAAGCTAAACAGAGGCATCACGCTAGGTTTAATTTAATCGTTAAACCTTAAGATGGTTTTAGAATACATGTGGATCTTATCTGCGGAGTTTTTAATTAATTTGAAACACATGCTACATCTTTTAGCATATCCAGCTAACATGATGAAATTTCAACTATGACTGGCCTGTTATTATTGCACACAAATGCTGCTGTTTGAGGAGGTTTAATGTTATCTGCCGAAATATGATTTTGTTTTCAGCAATAATAATTCAGAACCATTCATATTAAGATTTATTACGATTACTTCTGTACAAGATGAATGATATTTATCAGTTAATTTATTAAATATGTTATAAACCATTTACAAACCCTTAATGAGCTCCTTCTGTTTAGTTTCCCTTATCCAATATTTGTCAGTAAGCCCAAATGTGTTTCATAAATCAAGTAAAGAAACTTTAAAYAACCTGAGTAAAAAGAAAAATAATACATTTTCAGCATGAATTAAAATTGTCTTTATTGCACCAAAACGAGATAAGTGTACAAAGAGTCTTTCTTTTAAAACAGGTTTTTTATTATGAATTTATAAAATGTTTACAAACTGATCTGTAACACACTTATAAATGTGCAATTTTTCAAAATGGTTAAAACGGCACAAGTTGTGCAGCAGAACAAACACAACACAAAAACATTAAAACAATAAAAGCATAGTGTGATTACGTTCACATAGTGTATTAAAATGTTTTGTGCTTATGTGACAGTTAATACTAGGTAAAGATATCTTTATTTGGCCCAGTCCCAATGTCAAATATTGTACTTGTACTTACAAAACACACTGATACTTCAGACCAATCAGTACCACKTTTATACTTTGTGACATAATGTCCTCTTCAGTGTTGTATAAAGTAAGTGATACTTGAGTAAAAGTACAAGTATCTTATAAAAATACTTTGGTAAAAGTTAAAGTCTTCTC